CGCTAGAGGCGCCATCTTTAACAGCAGGTGAGAAAACTAAGGAAGAAGATTTGTCAGTAGAATTCCGTAGTCGGTTATTCGCGTAGGTGTAGCATTTCCGTATTGGCATTAAGGAAAACACGGTACGCATCATGTATTCATGTCACATGAAAGCTTCCATGGCAGATGTCTCCTCCGGTATCTCTAAACACTACCAAAGGTGAGGTGTATAGGTTCCTCAAAAAAAAAAAGGTGAGGTGTATAGGAATTACAGTACATTCTTTTAGCGTGTGTGAATGAATTACCTTTAGCGCCCCGAGAATGAATGAGGAACGGGCCGAGGCCCAACCACGGGCCGGCCTTGTTGAAGAGAAGTACAACCTCTAGTTGCCCTTTTTTTATTTTGTGCTGTATGTAATGTACTTCAGACAGTGGAAGAGAACAATCTGCAACCTGCGTTCTATGATGCACAAAGCAACAAGTTTATTACAACATCATGTCAAAACAAAATACTACTACCTCCGTCCCATAATTACTGTCCTGGTTTTAGTTCAACAATAATCATGGAATGGAGGGTGTAGTACTTAGCAACCACTGAAAGATGTGATAGGCCTCCATTTCTCCTCAGGGCCTGCTCGGCGTGCCCCAGCCCCCCTCCTTCCTCTCCGCCTCCTAATCAACGCCCTCCTCAAACTCCGCTATTGACCCCCTTCTCTCCCTGCCCGTGGCCAATGGTGATGCCTCGCTGATCCGCCTGAGTATGGCCTGCCCAATCCACTTTTTAGTTACCCATTTATGGTTTCGTCTAATGGAGTAAATCGCTTGCGTGTGATAGAATGCATAACATCATAATTGTATATGGCATTGCTGTCCCAATGTTAAATTCTTAAACGGAATGTACATTATAAAGTAATTTGTCTGCGGTATTACTATAAGTACCGGGTAACATAATGGACCGCTAAAATGAAGTTTTTAACAGCGCCTCAAACTCTCCGGATAATACCAAATCCTCAAATAGTTCCTCAAAGTAAAGGTAGTCCCAGGTTATCTTCAAGATCTTGTCTGTTTGCCCTGCTGAACTTCACAGTCTTGCAGGGCTGCAACTAACCTGCCCATCTCTTACACGCTTCTGCTATTCATGGCAAGGTGGTACATATGCAACAGGTACCGGGATGGCTGGATGCCAGCCATGTTAGCCTACCTCAAAATTTGGCTTTTTGCTAGTTCATGAACAAACACCAAGAATCAGTTCCTACTAGTGTATTAGGTCCTCAATATGGGAACCTTTTTTCAAAACCTCAGGATTTTTCTTAATTTCAAGATAAGGGACTGAGATAAGGTAAGGAAGCAGTTGAAGCTATATTATGCACAAAAGGTTCCACAATAGCAAATCAATTATGATATTTATTATCTACATGAACAAAAGCTTCCAAATAGCTAATGCCAACCATGGTCTTGTCAACATTGTAGTTCCGTGATCAGACAAACAATAGGAAACAATTATAGCTACAAGCAAACAAGTTTCTACAATAGACACTATTAGCCCAGATAATTCGAATGACCTTGGCATTATTGTTTCATTACAAGGCAAACAATAGAAACCATGCAGTTGCATGAATAATAGTTTCAGTTGTAGCAGCTACTAACCTTAGTACGTCTTTTTTGTGGAGCCTGCCATATGAGCCCATGATTGCAACCTAAAACTCTGAAGTGCCCTTGGCGCAACGACCAATGATAATTGAGAGAGCGCAAGCTTCCTGTAACCAAAGGTGAGGTGTGAAGGAATTTCTGTACTTTCTTTTACCGTGCGTCTGAAGTAATTACCTCTAGCGGTCAAAGAATGAATGAGGAAACGCGCCAAGGCCCAACGACAGGCCGGCCTCCTTGTTCAAGAGAAGTAAAACCTCTAGTTGCCCTTTTTTATTTTGTACTTTAGACAGTGCAAGAGAACACACTGCAATCTGCATAGTATGATGGGCAGAGCTTCAAGTTTATTACAGTATATAATGTCAAAACAAAACAGTGATAGGCCTCCATTTCTCCTCAGGGGCTGCTCGGCATGCCCCAGCCCTTCTCCTTCCTCTCTGCCTCCTAACCGCAGGAAATCAATGCCCTCCTGAAACTCCGCTATTGACCCGCCTTCTCTCCCTGACCATGGCCAATGGTGATGCCTCGCTGTTCCGCCTGAGTATGGCCTGCCCAATCCACTTTTTTAATTACCCATTTAGGGTTGCCTCTAATGGAGTAATGGCATACATGATAATTGTATATGGCATTGCTGTCACAATGTTAAATTGTTAAATGGAATGTACATTATAAAGTAATTTATATGCAGTATTAGTATAAGTACCGGGTAACCTACAGAAACGCTAAAATGAAGTTTCTCACCGTGCCTCAAACTCTCCGGATAAAACCAAATCCCAAAATAGTTCCTCAAAGTAAAGGTAGCCCCAGATTATCTTGAAGATCTTGTCTGTTTGCCCCTGCTGAACTTTACAGTCCTGCAGGGATGCAACTAACCAGCCCATCTCTTACACGCTTCTGCTATTCATGGCAAGGCAGTACCGTGATGGCTGGATGCCAGCCATGGTAGCCTTTCTCAAAATTTGGCTTCTTGCTAGTTCACGAACAAACACCAAGAATCAGTCCCTGTTACTGTATTAGTTCCTCAATATGGGAACCTTTTTTAAACGTCGGGACTTTTCTTAATTTCGAGATAAGAGAGGATGCAGTTGTAGCTACATGCACAAAAGCTTCCACAATAGCTAATCAATCATGATATTGTTTATAGCTACATGTACAAAAGCTTCCACAATGGCTAATGCCAACCATGGTCTTGTCAGCATTGTAGTTCCATGATCAGACAAACATCAGGAATCAATTATAGCTACAAGCAAACAAGTTTCTACAATAGACACTGTCAGCCCAGATAATTTGAAGGACTTTGGCATTATTATTTCATTACAAGACAAGCAATAGAAACCGTGCAGTTGCATGAATAATAGCTTCAGTTGTAGCAGTTACTAACCTTAGTACGTCTTTTTTGTGGGACTTGCCATATGAGCCCATGATACAACCTAAAACTCTGAATTGCCCTTGGTGCAACGACCAATGATAATTGAGAGAGAGTGCAAGCTTCCTGTAATCAAAATGGTAACATAAAAAATCTCCATCGTAGTGAACAACAGTCAACAGAGCATGGTTTGTTCACACAAAAGGTGTTGAAATTCTGGAGGGAAGCGATGTTTTAGCTGTGAGATTTATATCTTGGCCACATACAGCTTTCACTGCCCTGTCTATGCTATACACTGTTCTATGTCCATGAAGGCAATTTGATTCACTTTTCTAATGCCGACTGTTTGTGAAACATAGCTTAAATGGCTAACTTTTTATCTCAATTGTCAACTAAATATTTCACTGTCGAATCTACAGTGAGCAGCAACTGAAGATAGCCTGAAATTATGTCTGCACACAAACCATCTGGAAACATAATGAATAGCTAGATCACAGTACCAGCTGGAGTTCTCCAATGGTTTGTGCATGTAAATGTGCTGTCTTCATGTTTCTCCGAAGTCCAGCTAAATAAGTTAATAATGAATATGTTTATTTTCCTTATTATGAAATGGACCATTTCGGGAGATGTTTGTAATAACGCAAATGATTAACTTAAACATGTAATAGGTGATTGGCCTCATTAGTGAGCCATGGTAGCCTTTCTCAAAATTTGGCTTCTTGCTAGTTCATGAACAAACACCAAGAATCAGTCCCTGCTACTGCATTGGGTCCTCAATATGGGAACCTTTCTTCTCAAAACCTCAGGATTTTTCTTGATTTCAAGATAAGAGAATGAGATAAGGTAATGAAGCAGTTGAAGCTACATGGTACATGCACAATAGCTTCCACAATAGCTAACCAATAATGATATTTTTTATAGCTACATGCACAAAAGTTTCCACAATAGCTAATGCCTACCATGGTCTTGTCAGCATTGTAGTTCCATGATCAGGAAAACAATAGGAATCAATTATAGCTACAAGCAAACAAGTTTCTACAAAAGGCACTGTCAGCCAGACAAACAATAGAAACATTTGAAGGACCTTGGCATTATTATTTCATTACAAGACAAACAATAGAAACCTTGCAGTTGCATGAATAATAGCTTCAGTTGTAGCAGCTACTAACCTTGGTACATCTTTTTTGTGGGACCTGCCATATGAACCCATGATACAACCTAAACCTCTGAATTGCCCTTGGTGCAACGATAAATGATAATTGAGAGAGAGAGGGTGCAATCTTCCTGTAACCAAAATGGTAACATAAAAAATCTCCATCATAGTGAACAACAGTCAACAGAGCATCCTGTAATTAAAGCAGCGCTTTCACTGCCCTGTCTATGCTATACACTATACTATGTCCGTGAAGGCAATTTGACTCGCTTTTCTAATACCGACTGTTTGTGAAACATAGCTTAAATGGCCCACTTATTATTTCATTTGTCAACAAAATATGCACTGTCAAGTCTACAGTGAGCATAGAAGATGTCTTTTTCAGGTACGCAGCCTACAGGAAGTTACACTACAATTTTGAAATATAGTATTTTCCCTTTAACGTATGAATAAAGTAAAGTGAATTGAAGAAAAAACATCTGTTAGCAGCCACAAGCTTACAAGTATGGAGTGCTAAGAAGAACCAACTGTGTGGCTCTTTGTAGCAAATCTTTGGTAATCTGTCTGATAACTGAACTCAGAATGAACAGAGCATTTCTCTTT